AATGTCATGGCATACTTGGTTTTGTGACTGGTTCCCATCCATGTCCACCTCAGTTTGTTGTTGGTTCTAATTCTGAGGAAATTGACGCATATAAGGTCTGGCAGTTACATGACAAAGCTTTGATGCTATTATTCTCTACTACTTTGTCTGCCTATACTATTTCTTGTGTAATTGGTAGTACTAATGCTAGGGAGATGTGGTTAACTTTGAAAGAAAGGTTTGCTATTATTACCAAAACTAGTATTTTTCTTCTGAAGACTTGTCTCTACAATATGAAGAAAGGTTCGGATTCTATAGCTCAATATCTTAATCATATTAAGGATGCAAGAGATCAACTATCTTGTGTTGGCGTGCACTTTGCTGATGAAGACATTATCATCTTGGCTCTCAATGGTTTACCTGCAGAATACAACACTTTTAGGTGTGTTATGCGATGCCGAGAAAGTATACTCTCATTCAAGGAGTTTCAATGTCAATTGCTTGCTAAAGAAATAATGCTTGCTAATGAACAAGAAGAAATAATGCTTGTTCATTCTGGTCGTGCTTGCTATAGAGGTTCGACATATCACAGTCCAGGTAGAGCTGCTTCCTATTATCCCCAGGAATCAAGATCTTGTCATGCTACAGTCCCACACTCGATAGGTCATCAAGAGTTTTTGTCTACTACCTCTGCATCAACTGTTATGGACGAAGGCGTTATCAGAATTCACCTTCCAGTATGTGGCTCAGAAGTCGGTCAAGGGTCAGGCTTTGGCCGATTTCCTGGCTCACCACTCAGCTCAAGGCTAGGAGGAGGAGATAGAGGTCAAAATTAGCATGGCCCGCATGGAGAAGAACTGCTGGACCATGTACTTCGATGGCTCAAGTACCGAGGCAACATCTGGGGCCGGAGTCGTGATCGAGTCCCCTCAGGGACAAAGGTGGCAATTCACTTTCCAACTTGATTTCAAATGCACCAATAATCAGGCTGAGTATGAAGCACTCATCATAGGCCTCGAAATTTTGAAGGAAATGAAGGCAACTCGCGTTTTGGTTTACGGCGACTCTCAGCTGGTGATCAACCAACTGACTGGGGAATATCAATGCACGAGCGAGAATCTGACCACATATTACGTGCTGGCCCTCAACAAGGCCGACGAGTTTTCTAGAATCTCTTTCATCCACGTGCCGCATGTAAGAATATCAATGATGATGGTATTGCCAAGTGTCAACAGATCAATGAGTAAGCTATTAGAATGTGGTTAGAGTTGTTAGGAAAGTGAGTAGCCAGCTAAGACTGTAGTTAGGCTGATATAAAGATTGTAATGTGCTCAGTTAGAGCTTAACGAAATACAGAAACCTACAATTCCTTCTCTGAAATTCTCTCTGCTTCTATAGTTTCTTTACTTTGTTCTTCAGTTTCTCTTCATCTTAACATGGTATCACGAGCCATGGATTCGATCCTGAGTTCTTTTGCTTCCGCCTCTTTCTTTCTTTTCTGAATCTGATTTCTAGTTTCTACAAACAGTGCCCTTTGTCTGTTCGATCAATTGTCTCACAGTTCTTTCTTCTTTCCAATCTTGATTTTTTCTTGCTCAATTGCGACAATGGTGAATGCTCCCCAACTTTTGATTCTCCAATCTCCGATTACCTCTTTCATTCGTACTATTTCTCATGAAAAGACTACGTGCTTTCGGGCTTGGTGTTATTTGATTTACCAAAACGAGCTGTACCGAAAGGGGTCAGACGACCTATTACTCCTATGTCCCAGCGCCGAAGACATCCGGGTAATTATGACTGAGTCCCATGAAGGGATCTGCGGCGCACATCAGTCCGGTATCAAGATGGTTGGTTCGAAGGCATAGCTACTATTGGCCGACCATTCTAAAGGATTGCATAGAGTACGCAAGAGGGTGTATCAAGTGTCAAATCTACGGCCCCATACAAAGGTTACCGGCCGAAGCCCTCCACCCGGTTACCAAACCATGGCCGTTCAGAGGGTGGGCCGTGGACATCATCGGCAAAATCCACCCGGCTGTGTCCAACCAGCACGCATGGATTCTGGTGGCAACCGACTATTTTACTAAGTGGGTCGAGGTGAAGTCCTATCGGTCACGGCCGATGACGGCCCGATTTTCGCTTCCGTGGAAACCCAAGAGTACGCCGAGAAAATGGGAATCAAATTGGTCCATTCGACGCCTTATTACCAACAGTCCAACGGACAGGCTGAGGCAAGCAATAAGGTGAGGGCATCCTTGAAAAGATGATTGAAGAAAGACCTAGGGCTTGGCATGACTTACTTCCTGAAACTCTTTGGGCTTACCGAACCTCAAAGCGCTCGGCTACTGGCACGTCTCCTTATGCCTTGATCTACGGCCATGACACTATTATTCCAATGGAGTTAAAGGTTCGATCTCTCCGAGTTACCGAGCGACCTAGGCAAGATAAGAAGGACTACGCGCAAGCCATGGCCCAGGAGTTAGAAGATTTAGAGCAGTTGAGACTTGATGCTTACAATCAGATGCAAGCTCAAAAGCAAATCGCGGCAAGGGCGTACAACAAAAGGGTCAAGCAAAAGACTTTTGCCAAAGGCGACCTAGTTTGGAGCGCCGTACTTCCTATTGGGACTAAAGATCCGCGGTTCGGCAAGTTTTCGCCGAATTGGGAGGGGTCGTTTATTATTGAACGAATTCTTGGCCGGGGCGCGTTTCAGTTGAAGGATAAGGACGAAGAGTGTCATAACTTGCCAATTAATGGTCAATACTTGGAAAAGTATACCCCATCGTCATGGGAAACGACCAAGATGGAGGAATGAAAGGTCACAGAAAACGAAGGGACTGGACAGCAATTTGATAAAACTAAAAACGTGCAGTCAATCATACGAAAGGAAAAGTTTGTACTTCATTTAAATCCAAATAAGGTTCATATTTACAAGGAACTGCCAATTATGGCCGAGTAAAAATATTACATGTTATCTACCCTAAGTCTATGCACAACCGCCTAGATCCCCTCGCTGAACATCCCCCAGATTAGGCAGGTGATCCTCCTCCAGGCAATGTCCCCGCTGTCCATGTCTGCAAGCCACCTCGCCCTGATCAGCTTTCTCTCGGCCAGTGCCTTTTTCTTCTCGGCCGCCACCTTGAGGAGCTGCTTGGCCGAAGACTTCAGCTGGGTGCCGGCCGCAACCGCACGGTCTCGGCGCTCGAGGATGAGTTCCCGATGGGCCTGAAGCTCGGCAATTTGGGTCTCAACCTGCACGAGCTCTTCGTTTTCTCTCTGAACGATAAGGTCATTTTCCTTCAGATAAGCCATAGCAGGTTGGGCTTGTTCTTTTATTGCCGCCAGTTCCTGCTCAAGCAAGCACCCTTCGGTCTCCTCATCCCGACCTCGGCGTACCGGCTGATCATCTCCTCGCCGAGGGGGGCGATGGCGTTGTTGTTTGTACCTAATAAATCATGGTCGCACACTGACCAAAGGGGTCTTCCCCCTCGGCCTCAGCACCTGTTCGAAATCCAAAACGCAGCACTTTTGCCTTCCTCAAAACAAAGGAAAAGTTGCGAAGGCATGGTCATCTCGGCCTTAAAAACACGGTATCGACAGGCCGAGGCTGAGGGACGAAGGGGACACGGCCGAAGATATTAAGAGTCAAAATCGTCACATGGCAGCAGGGTCCCACGCTTCATTTAATGAAGTAACGCCTCTGACTAGCAACCCCACTAGCCGCAAAAGGGCATTTAATGCACGAGGGAAGAAGGGAAGTGACTCAAGTCAGGATTTGGTGACAGAAATCAGAGTGGTTAGGCGCCAACATACGTACAAACATTCTTACAAATTGAGGTCAGATCACCAACCACCAAACAAGGGCATTAAATGAGTCCCCACGGCCAGAAGCGCAGAACCCACGATCAGGGCGGCGGCCGAGATTTACCAGGATTCATGGGGTCACACCACCATGCTTCACGATCCCAAATGTCGATTGGACTACCCACTTCCTTTGATCAGGCTCCACCATGTAGATTTTCAGCCTCGATTACTCCTCCAAGCGCTCCTCCTATAAATACCAAGTTTGAGCTACATTCAAAGGGTTCAAACTGTTTGTGCCTGATAAATCACGGCCATGAGCTGGCCGAAAGAGCCCTTTCTCTCGGCCCTGGCACTTGTTCGCAGAGGCTGAAACGCAGCGTTTCGCCAGGGTATTTCGGCTTCCTAAAAATAAAAGAAGAAAATGCTAAGGCATGATCATCTCGGCCTCAAGCGTAGGCCGAGGCCGAGGCTGAACAAAATGCGGCCAAGGCATTAAAGGCAAATCATCACGTGACAGCAGGGTCCCAGGCTTCATTTAATGAAGTAGTGCCTGTTTAATGCAGCAAACCCATTGGCCACAAAGTAGCATTTAATGCATGAGGGAAGGTGGGAAGTGACTGAAGTCAGGATTTGGTGATGAGCCACAATCGTTTGATTAGGAGTCGAACCCAAACAGGCGCACCACTTAACCATTTTCATCCACATCACCATCTCGACGCACGGTAGACCGTGCTGGCACGCCCGCGCACAACCGCACCGCATCCAAAAGAAGGAAGCCACGTGTTAACGCACATCCCCTCGGCCCGGAGCTCCAGGCCGTGAGATTTGCACAGCCAAAAGTTGTCTTCGGCGCTATCCTCCACGCCAAAGTTATTTTAGAAGCTGAAGTAATTGAGCATATTCTTCGCCTTGCTCCCAGCGAGCTTAGCAACCGTAGGCCATGCGACCTTAAAGCTCCCCTCGGCATCGGGCGTGACCAGCCCTGCGTTCACCTCCACGCCAAGGGGGGAAAGGCCGAAGAGAGCGGCCATGTCGAGCACGGTCGGCGTCCTCATGCCAAACCGAAGGTTCATGGTATTCGTGGCCGAAGACCAGAAACTTAGGGCTGCGGCCAAAAGTGACCGGTCCATGACAAGTGGCCGATCAAACAGTTTTATCAAGTGATAGATGCCTTGATCTTTCCACTGTTGGCCGAAGAAGTGTTCCATCCTCGGCAGCCATTTCTCCCAGTCTGGGGTTGAGGTCGGCCATTGTGACTGCGGCCGAACGACATTCCAATCTTGATAGTCCCCCTTGTTAAAGGCCGAGAGGTCCACCAAGTTTTCTTTTAGGTGAACTGCCAACCTCTCTGGCATGCCACCCTCCAGAGAAGGGCCAAGGACACTGGAATCGGTGGCGGTGCCGTCGTCGTCAGTCCAGGGCATGATGATGTTGGGTAGAACCGAGCCTTGGATCTCTCGGCAGATGTCTTCGAACCCAGTTTGGAAGATTTGGAACCGAGCTTCAACGGATAAAAAGGTGCTAGATGCCATTGAAACGAATTAAAGTCAAATGTTTTGAAGAAAAGTTTGAAGGGAGAACGATGAACACGAGGAACACCGGAGAGCCGAAAACCCAGAAAGAGGTTTAAAAAGTTCATGAACTTTCTGAGGAATAGAAGTGGAATCGTTGCTTACAAACGAAGAACCACTGAGCAGAAAGAGAGGAGTTTTGAAATTTGGAGTTTGAGAAGGTTGGAGAGTTGAGAGGGAGTTTTGGTAGAGTTTGGGCGTCTGAAAATTCTGAAAGCGTAAGAAAGAACAAAGAAGGCTGGGTTTTTATATTGGTGCTCGAATTCAAAGCAAAATGGCGTGGCTCTCTCTCGAGACGTAACAGCCTGAAAGCATGCTCGAGTGCGCGATGACATGTCAAAAACCTAGAGGCCGTCGTTTCAGTTGATGAGACGAAGCGACGGCTCGCGCGAATCAAGGCAATGATAGCCTAAACTACGTGCTTGTGTATTAAAGGCGCCGACTGACTCGCGCATTTAAGGCACCAACTGTTAGTCACCTCAAAGGAATGCAAAGGGTCCATCCCCTGGAATTTATTCGGCCTTTATCCATGCCGTGACTGAAGAATCCAGGAATGTGGGGTTAATGTTTGTGCCTAATAAATCTCGGCCGTAAAAACTGACCGAATGGACTTCCTCTCAGCCCTAGCAACTGCCCACATGCCAAACGTGGCAGTAAATTGTTCGTTTTCTTTTGTAAAATAAAGATGAGCTGTGAAGGCAAGACCCTCGCGGCCTCGGTATTATCGGCTGAGGACGAAGGGAGTGATAACTTCTCCAAAGCATGGCCAAGACAAGAAATCAAGCAGCGTCGCCACGTGGCGTCAAGGCCCCACGCTTCATTTAATGAGGTAACGCCTCTGACCACAGCAGAAGGCCCATGGTCCACGTATGAGCATTTAATGAGCCAAAAAAGAGGGGACGTGATTGAAGTCAGGGTGTGGTGAGTAAAATCAGGGTGATTAGGTGCGAAAATCTTACTTGTGAGATTAAGTCACCAACCGTCGGACCTCCAAGGCCCAGCCCGAAGGCGCAGAACCCACGATCAGGGCGGCGGCCGGGATTTCTGGGGGTCACACCACCATGCTTCACATTCCCAAATGTCGATTCGACTACCCACTAGCTCTGATCAAC